ATGATATTGCAGCTAGTTATGATTACGGAACGTTAATTAACGGGTCGCTACCGCGTCGTTATGTTCATTAGATTGGCTGTGAATTATTCGAAAGTCGTCCCTTTGATGGGAATCAAGTCGCGATCAGTTCCCACAGTAAACTATCGCTACCCTCTGCTAGTCGCCATTTTCATCATCCCCAATCCATCTATTTCGTTGACAAGTGGTCATATTCGGTCGATAGTAATACGGCTGCAACTCATCCATATATTCATGTTCGCTTATAGACACTAGGTGGTGGTCATGCATTGCAGTGTATTCGATCTCGAAACGATTATAGAGGGTTGAAGGTACTAACATAATCTTGTAATTTAAATTAAAGTAATTTAACTGAATTCGATCTTTTTTTTTTTCGATATTACATGGCGTGAGTTTATAAAAGTATACATATATCTAATCTATCTAATTTCTTGTTACAACATATTTTTTTGTCAAACAGTAATGAAACCTCTAGAATACAATGAATTAATTGCAGTATGAATTTAAATTGAAAGGAATACAATGAATTTACAAACTTTATTGTTTGTTATGTTTATCTATTGTCTATTGTTTGTATAATTAACTTCTAGAATACAATGAATTTACAAAACTTTATTGTTCTGTTTATCTATTGTCTATTGTTTGTATAATTATGTAGATAAAAATTATTGATCGTTCATTAGTTAATGATTTAGTAAAATATTAACCATCTACGCATATTTCTCAAAGAGTCTTACACGGTAGTTCTGTGCGCCGTATACCGTATATATATAAAAAAACCTTGATTCGGCAGGCACGCGTGTCGCTGCACGTGTAAGCGGAGTTTCCGGCGAGTGTGTCGCTGCACGCTTCTTAAAAGCCTACTGCACGCGTTGCCGCCACGCAGTCACGTATGGGGGTCCCCGCGGGTTCCCACGGCGGATGTGCATCGTAGTACACGTACGTACACCCACGGGGGAACGGGGGAACTACCGAGCAGCGTCGTCGTTAACCGAATCATTCGGTCACATGCCACGGGGTTGCCGACCCACAGAAGCGGGGGCCCCCTTTCTTCACGCCCTCGTGCACACACGACACACGCCGTCGTCGACTCGGTCGCCTCGTTGACTTGTGCTACACCAAACGCAGGTGGTCGGAAAGGGGGGGGGGAGTCTCGATTAGATATATACATGTAAAATGCATGCAGATATCTCGCGTTGCATCGTCTGCTTGTAAGAAATATGGAGCACGAGAATGAGTCGCACATTTGCTTCGGTAGGCTGGATTAATTAAGTGAGATATCGATGAAAATATAGGGAAACGCGATAGAACGATGGGAACTGATGATAATACTACATTAAAAAGGAGGAGTAATGAAAAAAAAAACTGTGTGAACGATATGTTCTTTCGTGGATTATATCTTCATATCAATTTCCGGTATCGCGCAGGTACATACGATGCGTTCTTTCGGGAGATGTACGTATTTCTTTAAAGCAATGAGGCGTTGCCGCACTTGCGGACTGCCGGCGAGAACCTTTATACTTTTTCCGACGGTATTTATCCACGCACGATCGGATTTCGCGGTTAAGGCAAAACCGAAACACCGCTTCGAAACGATATCCATTCGTGTATGGCAGGGAACAATCGTGCTCAAAATAAAAAAAAAGTAAGTCGATCGATTTTGCACATCCGGTCTCTCGTGGATAAATTAATCGTTTTTACGATAATTATTGGCATACCCAAGACTCATTAAATTCTTCTGAACGCGATGCTAATTTTGTTACCCTTGTAATACAGTTTGTTCGAACACTCCCGTAAACAATTGTCATAAAATGTACAAATATAATGTTTACTTCACATTTGTAATTTTAAATGTAAACGTTAATTTTCATAAGCTATTTATAAACTTTTTAATTGCCCGGGATTCAAAGAGTCGTGATTTATGTCGAGACGAAGTATTTTTGAACAATCGTTTAAGTCCTTCAAAACCATTGAGAGGAGCCATTAATTTCTATTGACATTCGAATGTTGTTATTAATGATACGAGCGTAGTGTGGCGTTACTCTTAATAGAAATCATATATTCGAACACACGGATCTGCTTCGCCGATCGGTACCAGAGAACGATTTATCACCCGATTCGTTGAGAATATCCAAATTGTTCGGCTATGCATATGACTCAACGGATTGCGAGAGAGAGAGAAAGAGAGAGCATATTTAATATTTAATTGTTTCTTTGATTAGCCCGGCTGCCGGTTCTTCGACTCGCATGATACTTTCGAGGCACATTTAATTGGAGGCGCGATCCTGATTTTACGAGGCGGCGCTGATGAACGTGTTAAAGGCTTTTAAATGTGTCGGTTAGCCATTTTGACGTGATTTATTTTCGGATAAAACATAGTCGTCGCGTGTTTTTGGATGACAAACATTAAAAAATTCGATTTTAATGAAATTTATTTAAAAATATGCGAACTATTGTGCGTATTTTATTTTACGAACTTGTTTTACATGTATACTTGAGGGCATAATTGAGGGAGCTTATATTTATGCACCACTAGTTTACGCTCCCGCAATTATTTGCTTTTTGAGAGAGGGATATTTCTTTACGTTTCGCTCATTATGCGACGTAAAGCTGAGCGCGTGTGCCTGCATATTCATATATGATTTCATTTCTTTGTTGTGTAAAACAAATCGCAAAGGGCCATATGTACACACTGCCTTTTACCTGCCCAGAAAAGAAATAAGAGTAATTTCGCACCTTTGTTCTCTTCTTTCGACGCGTTTCTCCCTTGTTTCACACGTCGCTCGCCCGCAGGCTGATTCTAATATATATGCAGATTGCAGATACAAGATCTATCTCGATTTTACATACATTTCAGTTTTCTTCTGTCGAGGATATATCGTTTTACATTAGAATGCACATAGTTCTCCAGAACGTATTCAATTGTATTTTCTAATTATACAATAGTATTGAGTTGATTGTAAAGTTTGTTCTATTTTTTTGTATTTGTACTAATGTCATCTTTTAACATAGCAAAAAACAACGGGATGAACTGTCCATTCAACTCAATACTTTACAAAAAGGATGTTATAATAAAAATAAGCACAATTTTATGTCGATTTGTTTATTGTATGTATATAGATAATTTATTTTCTTTTGCATTTAATTATTGTCTTACACAAATACTACAGTTTTAGCAAAATATGATAAATTAAACTGCTCCAATAATAAAAAGAAATGGTGTTATTAACGGTAATATAACGGTAAATATTTTCAGTAATAGTCTCCAAAAATATTATTTATCACGTAAATTTCTTCCTTCGGAGAGAGAAAGAGAGAGAGTTTGATACACAAATCAGGAGTTGATCCTGTTGGAAGGTCAACGTGCTCGAGGTAGAGCATTATCCCCGATTTCTCTGGCGTGGCTAGGAAGTACTACTTCTTGTCGGTCGTATTGTCGCATTAGATCGCGGCGCGCGAAGCGGTTCGGTTGTACAAGGGTTGGAACGCACCGAACGCCGATCGCACGGTGCAAACACCGTTCAACCACACGCAGGAGATACGATCTCGCGCATATAGGAACAGCCAACGTCCTCGGCCTCGGTCGGGCTCCCTCCAGGCGTAAGCCGGCTACGCCATTAAGCTGGAATTCAGGTGTATTAACGATGCTGGACCGCGCGCGGCAGGTACGTAGCGACCACCCGTGGCCACCCGGTAGCACACTAATGGCAACGCTACGGCGGAACCGTTCGTTAGAGAGATTTTATTTCGCCTATCTTACGCGCTCGCGCTGCTCTGAGCAACACGACGATTACGGTCCCCGGCGCAACACGGGGCGCACGGTGGGAAAGGGTTACGGGGCGCAATTGTGTACAATTGCGTCGCGTACGTACTCACGGGACGTTACCCTGATTACCGCAGCCTCGATGAGGTCGATTGAGAGGCTTTCGCGGTACCGCGATATCTTACAAAGCGCTAGATTATTGCCATTCCATTAATTACTGTGTTAACGTGCCTCTCCCTAATCGGGAGTGCATTTGAAATCTGACGGGAATGTTAATTTGATTGCCGCAATCTCGGTCGATGATGAAATTAAATTAAAGTTTTCATCGTTGTTAAATGAGAATGTTTTAAGAAGTATCACGCAATTTTTGATATACTTTTAATTACAGTATACTAATTATATTTAGGCACTTGAAGTAAGTTTGATAATAAAACTCTATATTTCTATGTAACATTGTAATATTTGTATATCTCTTATAAAACAAATTGCGCTAGAGCGGAAACGCGGAGATGCGACTAAATCTCGCGAGAATATAAGCAGGCAGCATCGAGTCTCGCTGTGCTCTTATTTGAACTCGAGACTAAGCGGCATCGTCGTTATCGAGAAATTCCAGCGAGAAGGTTCCACAGGTGTTACGCGTAAATAAATGAAGGTCCGTGCATGCGTTGAATTATTTATTTCCACCTCGTAAAAAGTTTCTATCGTCGATGGAATATATCGTCGTAAATAATATATTCTTGTTAATGTGAATATAAAGTTTTATTTTATTTTTATTTTATTTCAGCGTCTACATATATGTAAATTACAAGATATATTATAAATAATGTAAGATTTAATGTTTAAATTCACAATATCAGGCATCTTGTTAACCTTTTAGTAATCTAATAATCCGCTTATAATTACGTGTATATCTTATATGTCTAGATTTCGATTTTAATAACATACTTTTTGAGAAATTCGAAATATCGATTTGTTAATTTGAAGATACAAGATTCACATATTGTTAGATTATATTTCTTTGGGTGTATCTGACGATACTCGAGCGACAGCAATAGTTACGTAATAAGTATTACGGCAGCGTCTCGTGTTAAGAAGAATGTATGCTTAATAACTAACAATAAGCCCGTGTAACAAGGTGAAATTATGTAACTTTCACCTAAATTATAAAGACTTGCACGGAACGTTTCCATTATATTCGTATTTTTATTGTGTGTTTCAGGTGGTTCTGCCACTTCGACGATGATAATTACGTGAACGTGCCGCGCCTACTGAAGCTTCTGGACAATTATAATCCACGCGAGGATTGGTATCTCGGCAAGCCCTCGATACCTGCGCCCTTGGAGATCATCAGGCAGGGCCCGGAGCCGCAGAAACGACCGGTGAATATAGATTAATTGCACTTTCTTTTCTTTCATATACTTTCCGTTAGTTTTTTTAATACGTTTGTATGTGAATTCGCTATTTAAAAATGCTTGCCCAAAGATGGCAAGCAATAACGTGCAAGCGGTGCACAATATAAATTAGATTACCCGCAGGGATGACTGATCTATACAGTCGTTTGGGTTTAGTGAACCCACGGACTCTCGTGCTCGACATATTGTAGAAACATTTACGATCTATACATTGCACACATACACCGACCTACATGCGTTTTTGCAAGAATTAAATAACGAAGTGAATGGTTGAAGAAAAGACAGAAGATAATTTGATTTAAAAAATGAAATGAATTAAGAACATGACACATATTTAAATATTTGAACTGAATAATATAAAGTTCATTTTTACGTACTGAATAATATAAATTAAAGTTCCTTTTTTACGTTTTAGTCTATAAAATTTATACATTTGAATTTTTGTTATTAGTGAACTGATATTTTTATTATGTAATATAATACAGAGGGATATCTCATTATTTATATAACATATTTTTAGCTTTTTATATTTTCTTTCTTTTTTAAATTTTTATTTTAATTAATCTTATATGAAATTGGGACATATCTAAGATTATCCGTCATTATAGCCAATTGTATAATTAATGTCTGTATTTCGAGAGACCACCTGCTTTGATCTAGATTTATTTATAGTATAAACTATAGATCGCGTAGACTATAATTACACCCTTCTCCGAAAGTCAACTTATTATCGCCTCTCGCGGTCGGTTGACCGAAGGAAGTTGTCCCTCAGGATTTATTTAGCGTCGTAATAGCTGAACGGTAGTAATTTAAAACAATGACAATAACGAGCGCTACACAGACGTACTTTGCCGTCCAGCACGTCGGAGATGCCGCAAACGTGAAATTCGTCCGACCGCCTTTGAAGCTTCCGGTGGGTTTCTCGATGAAATTAAACCCGCCGGAGGAAAAAAAGAAGTCGGGTCGACAAGGCACACAGGGGATA